ACAGAATTTACTTCATAAGGATTACGTTTATTTCCGCCAAATGAATTGGAATTTGAAATGATTACATTTATTTGACACTTCATTTTTAACAAACATCGCTCAAGTTTGTTCAAAAAACCCAAATGGATACTTGAATGAATGAATGAATGAATGAATCTTGAATTTTAGAGGCATCCCGGCCACCATAAGGAGCCAGTGCATAGGCCGCTTAAGCGGGCCCTTATGCACCTCTACAATACTTAAATCACAAGCCTCGCCCTTTTAGCGAAGTTGAGAATCGCCTTGAGTCCAAGCTCCTTTACGTCCTGAGGGTCCAAAGTAATAGACCCCAGTATAGTCTGCCTATAGTAGCTCAGAGCTTCACAGCGACACAAAACGTGCGCCGAGGTCTCTTCCTCTACTCCGCAGCGTTCACATAAGGGATCCTCAGCCACCCCCATCACGTGCAGGTGCCGCCTTAACGTGTTATGGCCAGACAACAGTCCCACCAGCAACCTTAGGTTGGCTCTACCCAGAGATAGGCAGAAGCGTCCATCCTTAGCACTGGGCCCTTCAATGAGCTCTCGTGCCTGGCGGAGATGTCTAGAGATACTTCTCCATTTCTGAGAGTGTTGTCTTGCAACCCACGTCTCCATTTTCCTCCTAGCTTTATGCGCGGTTACTCCTAGAGCTGGCTCAGGACCAACGAGCTTGCTGGCTGATCCTGTTTTCGCCAGAGTGTCCGCCGTCTCATTGCCCCTTATCCCAGCGTGCCCCGGTACCCATATTAACGATACCGGATGCCTCGCTGCGAGGCAATCCAGAGCCTCCCTGCATTGCAATACAAGACTCGAAGTAATCTTACATGCACTTAGTGCTTTCATTGCAGCCTGGCTGTCGGATAAGATTGTTATTCTTCTCCTAGGCCCACCCTCCTCCAGAATGTGAGATACACAAGCCAGAATCGCAAAGATTTCCGCCTGGAAAATGGTGGTGTACTCACCGAGAGGCAGAGATAGCCTAGTTCTAGGTCCAGAGACCCCAGCACCTGAGCCCTCTTCGGTGACCGAGCCGTCCGTGTACCAGACCTGCCCGCTCACTTCGGAGAGTCCTCGGCTACCGGCGTCCCACTCCTCCCTCGTTGGGTACTCCACAATGAACTTGCGGTTGAAGCGATATTTAGGGGTAATACGATCACCCCTGCTTAGAAGGACGGGGTCCTCCCTATCTAATTCGACTAATATGGCAGTATGCCCCTTGACCGGATTCAAGAAAGCCCAGCTGCCCTGACTCCACAGTCGATGAGCGACTACTCTCGCTTCACCGCGGATCACCAGATCCAACGGTGGGAGATCCAACAGAGCTTCCATTGCACTCAATGGCGTTGTTCGCACTGCGCTTGTAATGCTAATACAGGCCAAACGCTGAATTTTATTGAGTTTGGGCTTAGTTGACTCAGTTCTAATGCAAGGCCACCAGACCAGGGAGCCGTACAAGAGAGATGGACGTACTATCGTCGTGTAGAGCCAGTATACCACTTTGGGTTTAAGCCCCCACCTTACACCGACAACACGTCTACAAGCCCACATCGAATTGCGAGCCTTGCTAACCTTGTGTTCCACATGCTCTCTCCAGTTCAGTTTGCAGTCCAGGATAATTCCCAGATATTTCACTGACTGGGACAGAACTAATCTAGTCCCAAAGAAGGTAGGCATGACCAGTCCGTCAAGCCTTCTTCTCCTAGTGAATAGGATCAGCTCGGTCTTTTCAGCATTAACAGAAAGATCGACTTCCCTACACCACGATTCCACGGAGCGCAGAGCGCCCTGCATAATTTCCGAGACTGTTCTACAGAAACGCCCCCTAACCACTATGCTTACGTCATCAGCATAGGCTTGCACGTAGACACCCATACTGTTGAGCCTAACGAGCAGTTCGTTCACCACGATACACCACAGTAGGGGTGACAGAACTCCACCCTGAGGGCAGCCTCTAGCTACGTTCACGCTGCAGCTTACGTTATTCAGCATAGCTGTTGTTACCCGACCCTCCAGAGTAGAGAGGACCCAATCTATTAGGATTGATCCAACCCCGTGTCTAACCAAGGCCTGTCTGATAGAGTCGGTTGTGATGCAATTAAATGCACCTTCAATATCTAAGAAGGCCACGAGTGCCACTTCTCGCTGATCTAGAGTCTTCTCCAGCCTCCCAACCAGATTGTGTAAGGCCAGATCAGTCGATTTTCCAGCTTGGTATGCAAACTGATTTGCATGAATGACACACCTTTCCAGTGGGCCATCCCTTAGGTATCTATCAACTATCCTTTCCAGGGTCTTAAGCACAAAAGATGAAAGAGTAATCGGTCGAAAATCCTTCGGGCCAGTATATCTATCTCTGCCCGGTTTAGGAATGAATACCACTTTAGCCTGCCGCCAACTTCTAGGTGTGAAGCCCGTGGCCACACATGCTCGAAACACATTCAACAGGTAAGGAACAACCGAAATCCGTCCCTGCTGTAACATGGCCGGAAATACGCCGTCCAGACCTGGACTTTTGTATGGGGCAAACGAATCTACTGCCCATACCGTCCTTTCGAAGGTGACAATCTCCCTTGCCGTGCGCCAGTCCTCCCTTGAGGGCCTGCGCAACTGCATGCACTCTGTGATTGATCGCGCTACTGTGGAACCGGGAAAGTGCGTATCCATCAGAAGCCTCAGAGTATCTTCCTCGGAAGTAGTGTTCCCTCCCGAGGGATCATGCAGAGATCCCAATCTTGCTTTAGTGTCTTTGCATAGGACTCTGTGTATTCTTGCAGTAGCAGGAATGTCATTTATGGACTGACAGAAGTGCCTCCAGGATTCTCTGGAGGCCCTTCTAATCTCCTTTTTGTACTCCTGCAATGCCTTTTTGTATTCTTCCCATAGAGGAGAACCTCTCCTGTGCTTAACTCTGCTAAGAAGTTTGTGCACCGCTCGTTTTCTATCCTCTAAATCTTTGGTCCAGAAGGTTGCCTTGCCCTTACCTTGTACTTTGCGTAACGGGCAGTTTTCCTCATATGCGGCCGTCAAGTCCCTGCTCAGAGACTCGACAGCTGCTTCTATGTCAGAGCCCCTGCCAAGCCTGTATGGGACCGCTCCAAGCTTACTGTCAATGTCTGCCCTAAAGGACCCCCATCTAGTATGCCTGGGATTCCGAGCATATTTATCCGGAATCTCTCCATCAGTCTTGAACAGTATATACCTGTGATCCGATAGAGAGGGTGTTAGAGACACTTTCCAGTCCCTGATGTCCTGAGCTAAGTTAAGCGTGCTCAGTGTTACGTCGATAACCTCTTCTCTTACACTATTGCTGAAAGTGGGCATGTTACCGACATTCAGAACCTCAAGGTTCGATGCCCCAAGAAACTCCATCAGGTCTTCGCCTCGTCTGTTGGTGTTCGAGCTGCCCCACGCAACGTGATGGGCATTACTGTCGCATCCAATCACAAGGTCGAGTCCAGAATCCCTACAGAATGCGACAAGGTCCCCCATTTCCTTAGACGGAGGAGGGTCTCTTGAATCGTAAGGAAGGTAAGCCGAACAGACAACCAAGTCCCTGTCACTGCCTTCCTTCTTATATCTAATTCTGACTGCAACTAAGTCTCTAAATGTAAATTCTTTAAGTTGCCATGAGTTGACGGAAGTCATTACGCAAGCTCTGGGCTTAGTGTCCGGAGTATCGCTAAAAAGCGTATAGCCCGGTATACTAAGCCCGTTTACTGAACCGTTTCTCAGCCAGGGTTCCTGGATGAGAGCCACGTCATGTCGGCCTCGAGTGATCTCCTGAGTAAGGGCCCTCGAAGCCGCTATGCAGTGTTGTAAGTTAATTTGGATGAAATTAAAACTTACCATGGATGTTGAGAGGCCCTTCCTACACCTTCTCGAATGACGGTATGTAACCCCTATTCGGGCGTACCGCCGTCGCCGCCGCAGTCATCGCTGCCACAGCCGCCTTCATCTCCGCTTCCACGGAGGAGTTCTCGGACTCGGTTCAGGATTCCATCCTCGTCCGAGTCGCTATCGTTTTCCTCTGGGACCAGATCCATCGCAGGGTCCGCCACGATGTTTTCTGCGGATATCCCGCTTGGACCCGCCGCCTCCACGTCCGTAGCCTCCGGTGGATACTTAGTATGTATGATTAACTCGCGAGATATATCGTGAAACTTTATCTCATCAAACTATTGAAATTAAATCTTGATATTTCTCTTCCAACGGTATGAAAAATATATGTTCATATTCTAACATGCATAGTATTCTTCGTTATAAAGCATTTTGCTCATATAGCCTAATCATATTAGTCGAAAATACTCCTGGTTTGTGAAATAATTGTAAAGTCTGGTTGTATTGCTGCGAGGTATTCAAATCATGGACGCATAAAATTTAGATTTCTGAAATATCAAAAATGAAATTTGGGAAAAATCGTCCTGGAATATTTTAATAATAATAATAATAAATGCCTTTCTTAGCAACACAACAATAGGGCGAAGTTTAGCCAGTTGGCTACTCTTACACCGAACCCTATTGAGTGCTTAAATATGTATATACAATTCAAAGTCACATACATGCAACCTAAAAATAAATGCATCGATCTGGCTTTCAACTGTATGAGCTAATAATAAAGGTAAAAAAATACAATCAATTGATAAATCCGCGCTGTTTTGGTTTACTAAAAAGGAAACAGTCAAGAACCAATACTGAACGGATGACAACACAAAAAAAACATAAAGATAATAACGACTAATTATGATACATCTAACAACTGATTTTTAACCAGCTTCCTGAATGTTACTACACTTTTGCTTCTTCAGGCAGGGTCGGTTGAGTTATTGTATAACCTCACAGCATTGAAAGTGAAACATTTTTGAAACAATGCGGTGTAGTGCAAAAGACATTGTCAGATTTTATTATTGTGCCTCAGACCTCTAAGATTGATATTTAATATGAACCTCTATTTTTTTTAACCTATTGCTTATGTTGTTACAGGTAACAAAAGAAGAATTAGCAAAGTTAGCTCAGGGTTTTGAAAAACAAGACATCCTGACGTCGTCAGGGGTAACCTTAGCTGGTAACAGATACATCTACCTATCAGGCACAGACAGAGTCATCAGGGCGAAACTGGGCAAAGTTGGTGTACATTGCATGAAAACGACACAAGGTATGTTAAAATGTATTATTACACAAAAAGATATAGATACAGGGTACGACTTCGAAGTTGAGTCATTTATTTTAACAGTGAGTAGATCTGATCAAAAGAAATGTTTTTTTCCTTTACCATTTTTCTGGTAAAATTAAAGTAACAAAGTTATAGCCCTTTGGAAATTTGAGTACCGCCCTGTCTCAATAATAATATTATGTGCTCGTGTTTGGTGACAACGGATATAATTCGCCTTATCGGTTCATCGCATCGGAAACAAAAAAGCGAAAGAATTTGGAACGATGTTTTTACAATTATTTCATTCAGTGTTGTATACAGTCAGTGTCAGTCGGTAGTGGATAGTGGTGTCTGTTGCGTCGCTCAAACGAAATAAAAAATGGCACATGTTTATGCGGATCGGTTTCCCAATCGAGTGCAACCAACCCCTCGTGCCTTTGTTAATGTAGTACAACGGGTTCGTGAATCATTTGACTTAAGACCTCACATATGGACGGCATGCCGGTGCTCCAAGACCTCACGATCAAATACATGTCCGCACTGAAATACTTGTCGGGAGGATACTTTATAAAACAAGGTAAAATTTTTTTTAATTTTTTTTTTATTTTTACACACATAATATTTTGGTTTATCTTCCTTCTACAATCATTATCTGAAAATTAATGACTCAACTTCAAAGTCACCCTGTATTTATCTGAAAAATTTCATTGTGTTTAACCCTTTGTGGTATACAGGTCTTCTCTGATGATCACCGATTCATAGTCATTTTACTCGGCTTTTGATGATATTCTGGCATTTTGGCGGTTCTGGTTGCCTATGATTTAGGATTTTGATCATCCATACAGCAGATATACAGGGCGTCCGCAAAGTTGGGGTTTTCCTTTTCAGAAACAACTACCCTTGAAATAATAAAGGTAATGTGTAGTGAAACGTGGGCGACCAAGTAAAAAAAAACAATAAAAGAAAAATCTCTCCAGTTGACGAGAAGGGCTAAGTACGTCTCTGCCCGAAATCATACCGCTCCAACAGAAAATTAAATCAGCGAGCAGAGGCAGGCAAACAAGGAAGGCAAAATGTTGCGTAAAAAGTCTAGGTATTGCATCCCGTCCGATCGATTTGGGAGAATAAATGGTCCAATGAGCATACCGTTCACCATGCCAACCCAAACATTCACCGAAAATGTTTGTTGAAAATGTGCCCGACGGACAGCGTGCGGATTTTGACCAAACATGAGTGTTGCGAAAGTTATTCACCCCATTACGCATGAACGTAGATTCGTCTGTCACCAATATGCACTTCAAAAAGTCCGGATTATTGTCATGTTGATGCAACAACCACTCACAAAACCGCACTCTTGCTGGAAAATCGTCAGGTTGAAGGGCTTGTACACATTGGACGTGAAACGGATACAGCCCCTCTTCACGCAGCGTTTGCCACACTTTAGTTTTTGATACTTTCACTTCTCTAGCCACGTCTCTAGTGCTTGTTGAGGGATTCTCGTCTACGCGATTACCTCTACACGCGTGACCGTAACCGTCGGTTGAAGGTTGCATACTGACCTGACACACTGACCCCAACCCAGTTCTGTCGTCGGGTTGAGCTAGTGTCCTAGTACCACTCGGGGATGTCGCGGCTACAGGACGGTATTCAGATATTTTTGATGTTGCAGAGCCCTTTATCTCGGTTCCCTTAAGACATTGGTGTATATGGTACTAAGAAAAATTGCTTATGTTTTCAAGATCTACACGTCGTGTAAAGGAAAACCCCAAGTTTGCGGACACCGTGTACTGCCGTACTTGGGTAAAAGTCAATAAAGTTAATTAGCTGCCTTTTTTAAATTTTGACGCCAATACATTTCTTTTATGATTACAAGTACAAAATGTATTATTGATCACGTTATTTATCAAAAACATGTAGTTAGTTTCTTTTTATTTGTCAAATATTTCATATTATCTACATTTCTTAAGCATAAAAGCAGTACCTAAATCAATTTATCAAAGTGAAAAAGCATTTACTTTTTATAGATTACTTCATGCAAATGTTGATCACGGCTGCGTTTCAAATAATCCATAAGGAAGTTCCAATGTTTCACTACCTTTTCCAGCATTGCGACATGAATTCCACCAATAACACGTGTTATGTTGTCTTCTAAGCCCTCAATAGTCTTGGGCTTGCCCAAATACACCAACGATTTCACGTAGCCCCACAAAAAATAATCCACAGGCGTCAAGTCGCATGATCTCGGTGGCCAATTTCAGGGCCAAAACGAGAGATGAATTGCTCGCCATATTCATTCCTTAAAATGTCCATTGTTTCACGTGCCAGGTGGCATGTGACGCCGTCTTGTTGAAATCACACGTCAACCAAGTTCAGATCTTCTAATTTGGGCAATAAAAAGTTACGGATCGTTGATCGATATTGTTCGCCGTTGACGGTAACGTTTCGTCCGAAGTCGTCAGTAAGAAAAATTCGACCAGCCCATAAACCACACCAGCTTGTTTTTTCTGGATGCATGGGCAATTCTTGTATGGCATGTGGCTGCTCATCACACCACATGCGGCAATTGTGCTTGTGTAGCCAAAAGTGAGCCTCATCGCTGAAAACAATTTTTCGATAAAACAGCGGATCTTCTGCGAGCTGTGCGCCCATTTACTAAAAATTCGACGCTGTGTTAGGTCATTTGGAATCAAATGTTGCACAAGTTGAATTTTGCAAGCCTTCAAACCCAAATCGACGTAAATTTTTTCAGGTTGTGGAGTAACACATTCTCAAGTGTGAGATATGCGGCGAATGGATATTTCACGATCTTCATTACCATTGATTGCTACGGATGCAATATTCTCTTCGGTACTCACTGTACGCATGCGAGTCGGCGGTTTAATGTCCAATAAAGAAAATTTGATACGAAATTCAGTAATAACACCTCTAATTGTGGTTCCACTAGGTGGATTATGGCGACTATAAAATGACCATAACACATTTTTCACAAACCACGAATTTTGGTAATAAATTTCTACGATTTGCATTCGTTCTTCGTTTGTAAGTCTTTCCATGATGAAATGGCATAGTATACTGAACAATTTTGACTCTGACAGATTACGCTTGGACGCCATTACATATCAGTGGTGCCCACTTGAAAAAAAAGGTAAAAAATTACCCATTAGTTCAAAGACATCTCAGGTACGGTATTATTGCCTGGGAAGCTGCAAATATCACATACAGTTATGGACAAAAGTATATAGACAAATATGAATATTTACGTAAATACCTTTAGAAAACGAATACATACTTCATTGCTCCATAAACAAATGCGTTATTAGTAGAAAAACTAAATTCCTTGTTTTTACATTATCTGCAATAAACACAAGACAAGTCTGATTACAAGCACTTTTTTATGAGGGACAAAAATAGGTAGACAAATTCTTTCCAACATTAGTTTGGTACAGTTTCGTGTCAGAAGAGGATTAGTTTGTGTTCATCAAGTATTGTGGAATAAGTTGAGTGATTTTAAGACCCTGCCGCGTGCTCGAAAATTTTCTTTCGATGTGAAAACTAAGATCATTGAGTTATACAAAGATGGTCAACGTCAAGTCGACATTGCCAAAAATTTGAGGCTGAAGCGTAAAGCAGTTTGGGCACTATTGAACAAATATAAACAAAAAGGTATCTTGGAAGCCTCTAAGAGAAGTGGTCGACCTAGAAAACTAAATGCTAGATCAGTTAGATTGCTACAAAATACGAGTACTAGTACAAGTACTAACACAAACATGGTTGGTTTTCTATAATTCAAAAATTCTTTTTTCTATAATTGTTTTGCTTTGTATATATTTTTGTCCTTCATAGTTGCAGTTTTTTTTTCAATTAATTTTTTATTGAAGGGAGTCTAATGAATTTATTTATGTATAAGTGAGTATTATGCTATAACTGTATAGATATACAGGTTGGTGTATTAATAAAACAAGTTAAAAAAGAAATACAACACAATATTAATTTGTCTATATACTTTGGTCCATTACTGTATGTTCGGAACTTAACTCAAAAATGCATTATAAAGACGATGACTGGCAGAAACAACACGAGAACAGTGAAGAATAATTATGACAAACAGAATAAAATCTTGTATGTCCCAAAACCAGAAAAAAATGTCTTACAAAGCTCGAATAGCTTTCGCGGACCTAAATGTTATAATATGCTCCCTGAACAATTATAACAAATCTGCTCACTTGAACTATTTAAGAAGAAAGTAAAGCAAGAACAATCTGAAGAAGCAAATCCTGAGTTTTTTGCCCGGTGTTTTGGCGACACTCTGTAAAACTTTATAGCTTTGCGACAAATGATAGTTTCATACTTTTGTTGATTCTTTACAGTAAACTCATGCAGCGGTTGTTGAATTCAGATAATAGTAAAGTCCTATTTTTCCTCATTTTAGAATTTTTCTTTCGAATTGTTTTACAGCTAGAGGCTATCGTAGCAGATAGCATAGCGTTCATTGCCATTGTCACGTTGTATTGTTTCCATGCGTGGACTATTTGTAATACCATCTGCCGATTCAAGCCAAGTTAGAATTGTTGTGTCGTGACCCACATATGAACTAAAAATATATACACATCGGTGCATAAATATTTTTAAGCGTGCACTATCATAGGCGTCGAATACTTGTAATACTGAAAGGTGTTCGCGAAATTGATTTACGATGCTGGGATTGAGCATGACATGTAAAATTGACGCTCATGCATTCAATGCATCCAAACAAGCAAACTACTATCGACAATATTTATTACCTCATTATATGCCCGTTTTACATTTTCATTTATACTTGAATCACCACCAAGGCCTAAGCCCTGAACACCCAGGGGTACCTTGAGAGATCCGTTGGGTGGTACCTCCGCGTTCGACACGGATTTCTTCATCAAAAGTGTAAAACAGCAATTTGACGTCAAATAAATCCAAGATCTTCGTGGATTTCTTCACCTAAATTAGAACTTGTTTTAATTTCTGTCTAA